TCTTGCTTGTGAAGTCTTTATTGGGACACTCTGACTGCAGGGAAATGCAGCCGCTTTTCATTTCTTGTGGCACTCAGAAAGTTTCATTGAATATTTCTGAGCTCTCAGTCTCTTCCAAAACACATGCTGAATTTCCTGGCTTTCTTCCTTAAAATCTGGTCTGGGTTTCTACCCCTGTCACCTCTCAAATTACTTGGTGTGCACATATACTAAAAAAATAAAATAAAACAAAAATTATTACTTTTTCAAAATTGATTTTGTTTTTTTCAAACTTTGTGAATTTTTATGTGGACTCATTTTTATATTTAAATTATCTGTATTGTGAATTTATCACTAGAATACAGCAAAGTTGAAAGATTTGTACTTTTGCTATTAGTAATGCAACACTGCCAACTAGAGGCACTGGTGATGATCAAACTTTTGTAGTGTGGACCACATGGATAAATTTAAATAGATTGCATACCTATGAATATTAAAACATGATATTTGCACTGGAGGAATCCCACCCAAGTCCTTACACTACAGTTGTACTTACATATAATTTCCTTCAGTGTGTCATTTATTGAATCCAAGCTCCATTTGACATCATCCAGAAACTCAAATAAAATCAAGTCAGATATCAAATTACTTTGAGTTCCTCAAAGAGTTATGGAGCCATTTTAACAGCTTTTGGAAATACATCTCCACAAGACATTGCGAGTATTAAAAAAATTTAAATTGCAACTTCCACAGCTAACTAAATTTTAGTTATTTTCTCAACTCATTTCAATAAGGTTTTATAATTTATTATTTCTAAAGAAATCATAGTCTATTCAGGTGGTCTAAACCACAATTTTTTCAGCTCTGTAAGGTGGCATGCACTTTGAGGACAGTGTTTGTTCGCAGCTGAAGGAGTAGTATTGAAAATAGAGAAAACATGTCCTTGAGCAGAAAGCTCAGCTACTGCCTGTCCCGTGGGGTTCCCTGACGTGTCTGTGGCTGTAAATTCGGTGTGAGAGGGGCCAGGGCAGAGCTGAGGGTGTTTGTGCTCCAGCACAGAGCCGGGCTGCCCGGGCCCTGCAGCGCTGCCCCTCCTGTGCCCTGCCATGCCCGGGATGGTCAGGCACAGCAGCCACAGCTGGGCAGGGCACGCAGCAAGGGAGAGCTGGAGCACAGAAGGACAGGGACCTTCTGTGTCGGAATCTGTGGGTATTGGTGATTCCGAGATTGTAGAAAGTCTCTGTCTTTCTGCCCCGTTGCCAAAGAAGAAGCCATAATTCGTCTGTGCTGTTTTCAAGGTTGTTTATTCTTGCTTATCTCTAACATGTTCTGCTGCCCTGCCGCAGGTCTGTCCTGCAGGGCAGCGTGCGGGGCTCTGCCCCTCAGTGGGATGGTACAAACATTATATACCAGAAACTACGTGTGCTATATTTACAATAATGTGCCAATATCTATCATCTACGTTGAACAGTGTGTCCCCAGCCTAAACCAATAGAAAAATGCCAACACTACAGTGAAACATGGAGGGCGTGAAGAAGGAGGAAAAGGACACGACACACCCAATTTCCTCCATCGTGTCCCCTCTGAACCCCTAATCTAGAAACCTAAAATTTTACCTTTGCACCCGTGTCACACTTAATTATTACTCTTATCAAACACTCAAAGCTTGTAATTCATCCTGTAAGATTGAAAACTCCTCTCCATGGACAGAGATCACAGACAGTGTCTCTCGGGGCTCTGTCCAGGGGGGTTCCTGACCCCCTGCCAGGGTCCCAGACCTACCAGGGCAGCCAGAGGGAAGCCCTGGATTCCCACACTTCTGCAGGTCCTCATGCCAGCCCAGGTCCAGCAAAGCTTGGGGAAGGAGCCAGGGCATGGGGTGTGCTGTGCCGCCCTTCTGGGCTGGCGCTGTGTGCCCTGGGCTGCACCAGCAGCTCGGGAGGCCAGAGCGGCTTCCCGGGCTTCCTCTGGCATGGCTGGAACCACACTGTAAGAGAAAGAAGAGACAGTCCTGCTTGCCAGGGCTCTCACAGCATTAAATAAACAGTCCAGAACAGTTTGTACTTTTGGACTAAAGGAAGGAGCCAACAACATCTAGAGCTGGTTTCCTTTTATTTACCAAAACACATTTATTCTGTAAAGCTCAGCAAAATCCATGAAAAATAATAAATTACTTTTTTCCCCTTACAGTCTTCAAAGCTTTGTATCTATAAAAAGTTCTGGGAAATCCGAGAAGCCTAGAGGGCAGGAAAATAATTCTGTGGAGAAGTGGGAGCCAATAGACTGTAGTGACTCACAGAGGCACAGAGCTGCAGAGCAGCTGAGAGCGAGGTGTCAATGGAACCTGGAACCAAGTTTTCCAGGGGCTGTACCACAGGGCAATTTAAGGATGGAGGGGCCAGCTTCCAAAAAATGCAGTGAAAACCTTGGAGGGGCTGGAGGTGACAGTACTGGAATAAGTTGAAGGCTTAAAAGTGAAAACATGGACATTGGCCTGGAAAGCAGAGAACACTGTTTGCAGCCAGTACAAACCACTACAAAAAGTAATTCAATAAATGCTTCTCCAGTTATATGATTATGCTTATGTTCCATAACAATGTCTTTACAGCAATACAAATCTAAAATGATGCAATGGTTGAGCGAAAGCAAACAACTGGTTTGCAGATAACACTGAAGCAATTTGTTCACTTGAGCAGTACCTAGAGCTCTGCTTTTAGGGAAGGGGGTAGGGGGAAAGTACATCTGCTGTGAATCAGTTTCTAGTACCAGAAGAACTATTTCCCTAATTATGACTATTTTGAAAGACACACACACACAGAAACAAACCACCATGTCATATCTAGATTTCTTTAAATTATTTTTTTGAAATTAAGAAAAAATTTCTTTTTGGCTGTCAGTCAAGACATAAGCCAAATGGACATTTCCAGGGTTTTCCCGCTTATTATTTTTACTGTTTGACAGTGAAAGCTAATGTTCAGCACTCTAAGCCCCAAGAGTAGTTCTCTGCTCTGGTACCATGTGCTACTTGAATGTGCACTGAGGTCCAGACTCAGTCTACACCAAATACCTGTGTTAGAAGCCAGAAGTACCTCCCATCCATGAAAATATGTGTTCTGTGAAGTTTTCCCATATTGTTTACTGTAAAACTTGTTTGGGCATTTGTGATGGTGCATCTCCCCACTCCAGGCCACACTATGACCTTTCTTTGTGATCTCCTAATTAATTTTGTATTGATTTGCAGAGGCACATTGATCACATGTAAAAGTCTTTGGCAGAACTGCCAATAGAGGTTGCAGGAATGGTGCCAAATTGCAGCTGTCACAGGAGCTGTGATCTCATGCCTTGCCCCACAGGAGCTATGACAGGGTTGGACAGAGTAAGAACTTCATCAGCAACCTCATTTGTGCAGCATTCTGTAAAGTAAAATTTAAAAGTCAGTCTCACTTTTCATAAATAGGCTACACATATGAATACTTACCCAGATCTGCTGCTACATGACTCACACAAAAGCAGCAGCTTGAGAGTCCAAGTGCCAGTTATTCTGCAACATCTTTCTCTCTCTAGAAGTCTTTTTCACATACTTTAATTGCTGCCTTATTCTGCCCTACTTTTAGATAGCTATTACATCTCCTAATTTTGACTTGGACATAATGATGTGTACGCAGTTAACCCATAGTTGTATGTCCAAAACTAATCTTTAGAGTGGAGGAGAAAAATGGAAAGACTTTCCACCACCATTACTGTGGAGACTAAGCTGGCCAAGTTCAACGAGTGGGAGTACACTGGTTCAATGAGTGAGTGCAGAAGCATGTGCTCTACATTGCAGAGATTGAATTGAATATTTGGCAGGTAACTGCTGCTGCCCAGGTTGGTGGTTTGACAGCCAGGCAGCACAGACTGTGTCTGGGATAGAGCTCTGGCTTCACACTGTTCATGTGTGGATGCTGAACAGAAGAAATCAAGGACGGGCCGCTGATCAGATCCACTTAGCAAGCAGTGACTGAATAGAAATACTGAAGGCATCTTGGATTTATAAATAATTACAGTTATTTTTTTTCATCATTAAACCTTAACAACGTCTTTTTGACCAGAGCTGCCAATATCTCTAGCAAAATTGACAAAGGCTGAAATTTTGACCTTCAAATATAGAGATAAATTGCTGAACATGATCCTGCTAAAGGGAACTCTTGGGTAGCTCAGCACTAATTTCAGTCTATTTGATTGAATATCTACCCCTTTACACCTTACAATAATAAACCTGTGCCATGAAAAACACAATACCTGAGAAATTAGGAACACAATATCTCCAAATTATTTCCATAATTTTGGAAAAATTCAATATTTCTAAGAACAGTAACCATACAGTCCGTATAAACAAATACATGGGACAAGAAACAAAAGAGGATTGCTTCCGATTCCCCTGCAAAATCTATTGGATGAGGAGAAAAAGGGTCATCCAGTCCATTCCTTCTTTATGCAAAGGTGATGAATAAAGGTGCTTGTATTCATCAAGTTCAGTAAAATTATATCAAGCATCATGTCCAAAAGAACAGATATTTTAAAACTACAACTCCCAGGAGCAAAAATCAGATGGTTTAAACCGTAGTTTTTAAATAAATAATTTTATTTCCCTCTCAAAAAGAAAAGAGAGTTTGTTTTATTTGTTAATTACACTTCCCTACACAAAGTAACCCTTGTGTCTTCCTACTAGGTTCATTCCTATCTTCAAGCACCAGTGAACTCTGCCATTCTCTGGGAACAAAAGCACCTCCAGTTCCAGCTTTCATTGGTGGTTTCTTTTTTCACTGGATTTAAGCCAGATTCAAACTGCTGAGGGGGTGCTACCAGACACACACAAACCACTATTTATTTCCAATCCTCTCACAAGACACCTGATACAAGCCAAGATGAAGAGAAATGCAAGGATTCACTGTATAAGCATGGGAACTTGCAAGAGAGAAAGTTGGAGGCAAGGCAGAAAAGCAAGGGGGAGGGTGGAAACACATTATTTTGGTTTTCAGCTCAAAGGTTCCTCTCATTTTTTCCCAGGTGAATGTGCTGTTGCTGCTACACAGAGACCTGGGCAGCTCAGGTGTTCTGTGCTTAAATCACTGATTTTTAACTAACAAATTCCAGGAAAAGGACCTTCAGTCAGGAGAACTGGTCGCTGCTGGTGAGCAAGTATTTCTCATTCTTAACTCTCCTTTAGGAAAGCAACGAGGTTTTGTTCACAAATGCCTTACAAGCCTAGTTATAAAAAAATACAAATGATAGATGCATAGAGATTAGCTAGTAAATGTTTGTTCTGGCAGGGAATTGAAGGCAACCTGTGTGGTGTTGGCTGTCCTATTTTTATCTAAATCAATTAAATAACATTGGAATATGCAGCATCAAAAATATGGAATATTAAATTTAAACTGCCTACAGTTACAGTTCCAAAGCCCTCTTAATTTTCAATAGGATAATCAATTATTAAGCTTCAGATGATTTTACCTGTGATTTAAAGAAATTAATGCTCTGATTTTTTTTATTCATACATTGTGAAAGACTACTTCTTATTACAAAATTAAAATTTTTTTCCTAGCTTTTTGATATTTTAATGTACAACTTTTTCTCCAGCCAGCCAAATAGAATTAATTTCTCTAATTGAGATTGCCAGTTATTAGAAATAGAGTTTTAATTTGTTCACAAGAAATTTAACTGCTAACAGTAATTCTGTGATGTAAAGAGATTCATTAAAACAGTATTTTTCTGTATTTTAGCCTCTTGGTCCTAAAAAGTATGAAGCTTTTTTTTTTTTTTTTGCCACTGCTCAGGGTTGCAGTTCCATACTAACATCTATTTTAAATGAAAGTTAGAGATTTTCTTATCAGTACAGTCACAAATGTCTTGGGGGATATTTTCTTTTGGCGGGGCAGGGGTGGAGGGTCATTGTTATTTTTGTTCATTTGGTTTGGAGGTTTTTCATTCAAGTCAAAGTAATTTCCTAGTGGGGCATCCTGGTAGCTCCTAAAGCTCAGCCTCTGAAAAGTGGAATGCCCAGTAAGGTGACTGAGTGGTATCCTGGCCTTCATTTTTTAACTCAGTTGAAACCATCTGATATCTACCCGAATATCAGGTCTTTAATGTCTAGAAGTGATTGTACTGGAAGAAAGTAAACCTACCAATTTAAAACAATTTGGCTTTGTAATGCTTCTTCTTAACTCTTGCTTTTGTTCTCTGACTTTTATCAAGGTAAGAAGTTACTGAATTTCTTATGATGATCTTGGTCAGGAAGAGAATACTGAACTCGCCAGAAACACAGATGAATTGTTTTATTCAGAAGGAGTTGAGCTGAAATTCAGTGTAAAAGATGCAATGAAGAATGGGAATTTTTTTAAGTTTCCACTTACTGCAATTTCAATGTTTTGGAAGGATATGCCAATTTAAAGAGTATTATACTTGTGGCAAATTCTTGCTAATCTTCCTACTTAATTAAGAAGGATATTATGAGACGGATATTATGAGAAGGATATTATCATGACAAAAAAGCTCCAACATAAAAATACATAAAAATCTTATGCTGTTACATTTCACTGAAATTAAAAAACCTGGAGCAGTGTCTTGAAATGGTTGTGATCCAGTATTATAACGGTGTACTAGTTTATGAGAATCATATGAGAACTGTACCCTGCAGCCTCATTTTAACTGCTGAAAGTAGCATTGCACAGTAAAATTAAGCACCTCCAGTTTGCATTTTCCTCACAAATGCAAGATTTCTGGGAAAAAACACAAGTGTCTCTGAAGTACAGATTGTTAGAATGACACTAACATATTGATCTACACTGCACCAAGTGACAAATCCATGTGACTAAAGCTGTTTCTTTGTTTTCCAGTTCCTTGCATTGGAAGGGAAATAATGCTCCATTCTACACTAGCCTTGTCCCTCCTGCTAATTGCAGTCAATTCCAACCTTGCAATGGCAATTAAAAAGGAGAAACGAGCACCACAGACACTGTCAAGAGGTACTGTATGTTCACTGAATGTAGTTATCTCCTTACCTCACCATATAGACCAGCAAATAAGTTTATTTTGAATGTACATTTACAGAATGTGTATCTATATATAATACATTATAAATATATATAATAATTTATAAAACATACATAGAATGCACATATATACTTACTGAGGTTTGTTTTCTTTAGTGTTAAGTGATGCTCTAATTAATATATGTTCTCATGTCACATCATTTGACTCCATCAGTTTATTAAGCATATGACTAAGGGCCTCATGTAACCTGAATATTTTATATAACTCACAGTGACCTAACAGAAACAAATAACTTAAACAGAGTCTCTCAAATCAAGATGTATATGTAGGACTATCAGTGAAAAAATATTCTTTTATACACCATTTTAAATATACATTATTATTGTAACCTGCCATAACATCAGTTGTTATAGAACAAATTTTCTACAGACTCATTTTTGTACATAGAACAGTTTGAACCATTGGTGGGGTTTCCTGCATGACTTTTTTTTTTTTTTTTGCTTTTCATCACATATCCACTGCAAAGCTTGATTGTGTGTAATTCACTTCCCTATGGTGCATAATTTTCAACCTGAATGTTAAATAAAGACCCTGTTTTAATTTATTTATATCTAATCAATCCTTAGAAATAGAAGCAGAAAAATAGCTTAGCAACCTCTTTCCCTCTCCCCCCCCCCCCCCCCCCCATCTTTCTCCTCCTTTTGGGACTATTCAAAAAAAAAAAAAAAAGGTCTTCATCTGTCTTCCTAATCTCTTCTGCAGGCCATGTAATGCCTGCAGAGCCCACTCAGGATCTGAGTTTTCCCTATCCTGGCAAAGTTGCATGTCTCTCAGACATTCCATCTGAGCCTAATTTCTCAGAGATCATTTGACAAAATCATACACCACCTCGACTAGCCTAAGAGAAATTTCAAAAATTTTTGCAAGCAATGTCCCTAGGGAAAGGTTACTATCAATCTAGGATGTATTGCCTAGTTTACCTAGATCAGGATTTAAGCCTAAATGGAAAAAAAAGAGAACAAAATCCTTTACAAAATACCAGATTTGGAAAAGGGAAAAAAAAAAAAAAAACAAAAAAAAAACACCAAAAAAAATCAAGCAAACTACAAAGTAGTCACAGAAAACAGGTGTAACTTTTTGAATTCTGATTTCAGGCCTATTGGGATGCCTTAAGCACTTTACCTGTAATTTTTCACTGACCAAGGGGAAATGCTTAAATGTGCTGCAAAATGTCCCCAGAATGCTGACTCCTGTGTGCAGTTGCCTGCAGCAGGAGCTGACAGCAGCCAGGGTTGGGAAGACACTGGTCAGCACCAGCCAGACAGATCTGTGTACTGAAAGAAGACATGATCCAGAAGCATCACAAGCAAATGTCCTGTGAGAAATCCAACAGCAAATCTGGGCTGGTCCAAGCACTGCCCAGACAGCAGAGAAGAAACAAAGCTTTAACCTGGTCCAGGTCCAGAAATGGAGAGATGAGAATGAGAATTGTAGAACACTTGTCATGAATGGAGCCACACTGCCTAGAATACAGGGATCTATTATGCAAGAGCTGTCATCCTTAGGAGCTGAAGGCATAAAACCAAGTGGACAATTTGATTTTTGAGATCTGCATATTCCCAGCTATGGATAAGCTATGGAGCTAATGTTTGTTAGGATTTTATTTCAGTGGAGCTTTTTATTTAACAGCCATTCCTTTATTGAATTCTTTAATTAAATGAAGGGCTTTCAGCTTCAGGGATTGAAGTTACTATTGAGTTAAGTGTATATTCCAAGACTGTTCTTATGACATTCATATTAAAGCTGATCTTATTTGAGCTGTCTTATTTTATTTTTTCTCTTGTTATATGCCATCTTCTCTTTAAGTCCCAGGGTTTACATGAAATGCTGAGCAGACAGTATGAAGATAGAAATTACTTGGGTGCTGATTTAGTGACCTCAACCTTGAGCATTTAGAGAGATAACTAACAAGTCTGTCAAAGGATTTGAACTGGATATGCAACCAGCTGAGATTTTTGGGGGCTTGGGTTGTTTGGTTGAAGTTTTTTAACCTTTTAGTGTATCTGTCAGGAGATGTGAAATTAGCATATCCACAATGTTAGAGAACCTTTGACTAAAAACCCCAAATCTTACTTGCATACAAAAGTTAATACACATAAACAAACAAAAAAAAAAGAGAAAGAAAGGAATTTGTTCTGAGTTACTTGCCTGGCCAGCAGCTAGTCCTTTTGTTTTATTTCTAGGGTGGGGAGACGAAATTACTTGGGTACAAACTTATGAAGAAGGGCTTTATCAAGCAAAGAAAAGGTAAGATTAAAAAGTAGTATGAAGACAAAGTTGTTGTTCCATCTTGCTGGAATACACAATAATGAGACAGAACAAAGAAACACCATGAGAGCTGATCTGTAGACCACCCAGTTAAATAAAACAGACTGTCTATAAACAACAGGACTTCTAGGACTCTTATGACTGTGAAGTAACATCATGGGCCAATAATGTAATGCTGTCATTTCTTTGCCTCAAAGGAGGTGTTGTCATCTAAATTATCAGTCATAAATAGATACCATAATTTTTTAAACTACATCTATTGTGTTTTAATATAATGTACTTCAGATTACTTCCTTGAACTCTGTTCCATTTACTCTTGCATGGTAATCTACTGCCTTTGATGTTTCCCCCAGTACTTTATTAGTTGGAATATGTTAATGATATATTTTTTCACTGTCTCTATAGAAATGGAAGTTCCAAGCTCAGTCTTCTCTGAGACTCAGCTGCAAATACATTTGAAAATTCATAACAATATTTATTTAAATATCATTTACAGCTCTTTGTAATTCACAATCGTGTAGCATGAGCTATTGCTAAATTGAAGGCAAATTATTTGTAAAACAAAAGACAATTAATTTTATGTACCCTGTGTGAAAATGGTTAGAAATTAACAACTCCTGATATTGAAAGCAGACCAAGTATTAATAACCAACATTTTTTATGTTTTGACATCCAAAATATAAAATTTTAACACTTTACCAAACTATTTATAAAATATAAGTAATGTACTATATAGCTGTTCAAGAAAGCTAAAAACACAAGGAAAATTTCATGGAAAGAATTTGATGACAAACCAAATCTTATAAAATTTGGTTTATTCTAATTCACATATATTAATTTTATTTTTTAACCCTGGAGAAATTCACATCTAAGTAACATTAAATACCTATTTAGTCTTATTATTTGCTACCTGGGACTGAAATAATGGTGGATCTGTTGTTTATTCCAGAATCTCTTACTATAGACAGCCTATTTAGACATAGAAACTCTGTTTCTCTATTTCTTTCTTTTATGAAGTGCTTATGCTCTTTTCTCTTGCTCAGAAATTTCTGTAATATTTTACAGAATGTCTACATGGTTTTACTCTGGGTTAACGTCAGATTAAATGCAATTTGCCTTTTTTCAGTCTGTTACTAAAATCAACCACCTGAATACATGTCAAATGACCTAACTACATCTTTTATTAATATTCATAAAGTAACAAGCCCCTGATGATAATTCACCATTTGGAAGACTGTCAATACTGCCAAGGTAATTTTGATTTTTTGTGTGTTAAAATTTTGTGAATATTTTTTATAAGAAACGGAACCTATCTATATATTTATATGCACTTACTGAAAATTAGTCAGAGAAACAGGTAAATGAAAGTGAAAAATTTATTACCATTATTTACAAAAACTCCACTATGAAACTACACAATAAAGAGCATGAAGAAAATCTCACTGCTGCTGTACTGCTATCCCAAATACAGCACTCAGTTTAAATTAAGAGACACGGATTGGCTGCCGACTCATTGAACAACTTTAATTTTGTTTAGCTCTCCTGAAATGGTAACTAAAGAAGGAGGCAAGGACAGGGCTGCTGAAATTGATCTAACAAGAATTTTCTGAGAATAATGCACTTTTGTCAAGCCAAGACATGGTATCCATTGAGACAACAGGCTTCATAAATCACAGAAGAGGGCTTCCATTTTCATAGCCAGAGGCAGTACTGCCACAGGCCAAAGAGCCCCCAAAAGCAGTGATAGAGCCCTTAAGTGTCTCCTCAGGAATGTGAATCAGCAGAGACAGGAACAATGTGGCCCAGTCTCTGGCCAGTGTGGTGCCCAAGCACAGATGGAAAGGCAGCGTTTGAGTTGGATTTCAAAGTGATCCTGTCTTTTCTAGCACTGAAGAAAGCTTTTGCAGAAAATGAAGAAATTCAGGAAATGGCCCAAAACAACTTCATTATGCTGAATCTCATGGTATGAAGGGTTTGGGAAAATTTGACTGGTATCATTTCATGGTCTGTGTTTTCTCTTTCTTTATCTTGTTGTTTCATGTCATTTTAGATAATATATCTGACATTTTAGTTATTTAAGTAGAGACAATTGTGCATGTGTATTCACACACGAGTAGTACCTATTTGGCTTTATCTTCTGGTACAAGGTTATTCACAGGTGGTATTATTTCAGAATTTACAGAAACATTTTAACATTCAAACTTTACAGAAACATTTTAACAACTAACCTTAATTTTTATACCAGCATGAAACCACAGATAAAAACCTGTCACCTGATGGACAATACGTGCCTAGAATCATGTTTGTAGGTATGTAAAACATTTATGTATCATCAGAGTTGTTATATCTGAATTATGCCACTGTCCTCCTGTGGGGACATCAAAATTGTTCATTTTGCCAAAGGAAAATCTGTCTGCCTCTGTTGTATACTTTGACTCTTGTAAACTTCCTCGGATTACAGATATGTCCTGGAGGGCACTTACTTGGGCTTGAGAGCAAGATGTTTAAAAGCCTGTTGATATCTGTATTTCTTGCTTTTCGTGCTTCTTGCTGGTTCTGTTACAATACAAAGTTTACTGAGAAAGTCAAATATCTGACTGAGTGTAGATAGCTATAAAGTGGACATTCCCACAGAATAAAGCAGTAGTCAGTGGCATCTAAGGATTTATCCCATTTTAAAGCTGACTTCTGGAATGTACCAAATTAATTATGCCCCAGAGTGCCTGTTCCTTCTCCCTCGCTGTACAGGGAGCCTGCAGTGACTCTGTGATGGCATTCGAAGTTCAGCCCACACTCACGCAGAGAGCAGTGTAGTTACAGCAATCAGTAAATAAATAATAAACTTGGAAGGGTAACTGAGAGAAGAGAGATTCACAACAACTTGTTCCCACTCTGGCAATATTAGGAATCAGAAGATTTTCATTCTGAAAGCTCTAGGTAAATTATGATATCTATTGCCATTGATAGGCATGACCCCCACTATGTATGCCTCTGGTCAGGTTAATCTCCTCTGATGTAAAGTCAGAACCTGTAAAACAGGATATTTTTCTTTAAATATGAATGACATGCATGTGTAACCTAGCCCTTAAAAATAACTGTGTACTATAAAAATGAGCATTAGCTTTTGTTCAGGATTTCTCCAAGTAAAGAGCAGTTGTTTGGAACAGAGCGTAACGGCCTCGTAATTGCTGCATTGATGAAATCAGAAAGAGGGCTGCCAAAGTAATGCCACGCCATCACCCTCAGAAGTTGTGGGAATGCAAGGCAGTCTTTAACCCAACCACTTTTTCAGACCCATCTCTCACGGTAAGAGCTGATATCACAGGAAGATACTCCAACCGGCTTTACACTTACGAGCCGCAGGACATGATGTTCCGTAAGTGCCCTTTGCCGTGTTACTTTGTATTTCACCTTGTAAGCAGCCAGATACCCCTGTCCTGATCACTTGTGCTTGAGAATCCATGAGGATCTCAAAGTAAAAATAAATACCGTGTGAGAGCATTTGCAATAAATTATAATGGTCTAACCTGTTCTAGCAAAACAATCACACACATTGTCCCATTGAATTTATTGGGACTACTCAAGCAAGAAAAATTGAAAGATCATGGGTGAGAACCTTCAGGATCAAGATCTGAGCTATTTTATGGAGAATGGTGAATGTCACTATGCTCAAAATTATCTGACTGTACAATGTAAATAGCCCGTGGTGGGAGGGAATCAGTAAAGAAATGCAGGTGGTTGTATCCATAACCCTAACAACCATATATCAGAAAGGAATGTGATTTTTCAGGTTGAGCCAGCTCTTACTCTATGCCATCTATTTGACACTAATGCAGTATCTCACCACAAATACACACATCAGATCTGATTATCAGCTTGCTGTTGAGAAATGAGGGAGTTGAAAGGATTCTTGTCAAATCCCATAAGTTAAACATTTTGATTAATGAAATTTTTTACTTTCTGTTTTAGTAGCAATCTCTAAAATAAAATGTGTGACCATAAATCAATTTCATTGTGAATAATTTACTAAATCAAACTAGATGAGTTTTTTTTCAATTGTACTAATGTACTTGTAATACATTTTCACAGTTCTTACTTTTTTTTTTTCAGTAATAGAGAACATGAAGAAAGCACTACGCCTCATTCAGACAGAGCTGTAACCAGTAACAGTGAAATGACCATAAGCTCTACGAGGTGAAGCTGCACCTCTCTGTCTCTACTTGCAAACTGAACTTTTATCAAGCAGATTTGGTATATCAGACTTCATAAAAAATGTATGTGTTCAACTTGGAGAATAAAAATAGACTAAAGAACCCATTTGGAAAACATGAGGAGAAATATATCTTATATTATAATAACTTATCTAAATAACTTATCTAAATAACTGAAAATAGTGGTTTTAAGTGCATCAAATTCAAGCTGTATTTTAGCAATCCAATTGTGACTTTGTTAGGTCAGCTATGACTTCTGAAGAGGAGTTACAAACAATCTTTTTGATGTCTGTTTGCAATTTATTTCATGAGTTAATATCTGCATCTTGCCTCCTCATTTTAACTTTTATTGCAAGCAGCTTATTAATTGTTAGTGTACCCCTGCTTTATACAGTCATTTCTCATTAAAGGAAAGGAAATTTTGCTGTCAAATCAGACCACAAAGCTCAGGCTATAAATTTTGGAATAGTTTACATAGGAAAAAAAAACCAACAAACAAACAAACAAACAAACAAAACACCAACAAAAAAAACCCGAAACAAAAAAAAAAGCCAAAACCAAAAAAAAAAACCCACACTAAACCGAATCCACAAAAACAAACAAACAAACAGGGGAAAAAAACCCAACCATGTTCTGGGCTTAGCTTTCCTTTGTATAATCCTCTAACTTTTGTTGTGGAAGCTGAAAATGGAAGAGACTGAGCATGCAGTCTCAGTGAGGTGATAATAATCAAAGAGCAGCTACATGTTTTGCTGCAATAAAGATACAGTGAAGCAAGAGAGATGGAAGGAGATAGATCCAGAACTCAAAACCTGAGGCTAAGTGATGTTTGTAAATTCTGGCATGAGAAAAATGAGGAGGTTTATCCTAGTTCTTTGCAATTAAATGTCATTCCAGTCATGGGAAGCTTATCCCAGGTCATTCCCTCTTTTTTTGCAGCATTCCACCATAAAGTTGGCAGCTTATTGAGGAAATCTAGATGTACAAAATCTTGGCAAAATTTTCACAGGATTACTGTATGCAAGGGTGGACACTTGTTTTGAGTAAAAAGCTAAAGTCAGTTGAAATGGTTTACTATCCCAGCAATGTGGGGTTTTGTTAGAGTAAAATAGTCAGCAATTCACCTGCAGCAGGAGCATGTATGTTATGTTGTTACATGTAAAGCACCTGTGTCATTATTTTGTGCCACCTGTGTTTGCTTGATGCTGCCTCTGTACATATAATAGATGAGAGAAGGATCTCGGCAGGAAAGCTTTGCTAATTCACAATACCTAGTATTAATATGTCATGAGTGAGTTATATTGCACATATCCACATCTTCACAATTATGTAAAATTTGGATATAAGCATATATTCCAATGGAGTGGAGATAAATGACCTGTACAGTAAGAGAAAAATAATTACTTCAGTACTTAGAAATGTATTGTCTTTATAGTCAGTGTGATGCTTTTAACATATGGGGGAAATGCTAGAAGTAAAATTAAACTGCAAATGTCATTCCTTTGATTTGTGCTGAGCTCTACTCATTTATGTCTTTGTCTGTTCCAGATTTGGCAAGATTTCCCAGTTTGTGTTCATACCCTCTTTTGAGCATGCCAGGGGTACTCTGGAGAAAGAAATGCAAACTAGCTACCAGAGATGACCCAGGGTAGCCACGGCAGCTATTCATCTTCCTTTTTCTCCAGGCTGAACAACCCCAGTACCCCCAGTGACTCCTCAGGAAGCTTTTTGCTCCAGACCCTTCACCAGCTCCACTGCCCTTCTCTGGACACGCACCTGCCTTATTGGCCTTCCCCCAGCTCTTACCCAGGAACACTCGCCCCTGCCATCACCATCACCAACTCTAGGCCATCAAAACTCCCTAACATATGGGGCCACCCCACTGCCTCCCCTTCCTTGCCTGTCCCTTTTGAAGAGTTCATAGCCATCCAGTGCAGCACTCCAGCTGTGCCAGTCAGCCCACCATATTGCCATGTCAGTAACCTACACCAGTTTTTCTGGCTCACAGTGGCTTCCAGTTCCTTCTGTTTGTTGCCCATGCTGTGTGCATTGCATAGACACGCTTCAGCTGGGCTATTGATCCTGCTACCATTTTGAGGGGAGATGCCCTCATTTCTACATGACCATTTCCAGGCACTTTGGGGTTTCTAACTTCAATAACCCTTGTGTCTTTGCTCTATCCCTTACTTCCACTAAGAGGGCAGACCAAAGGGCCTCACTAGCACACTGTCCATCAAACATCTATGTGACACTACCAGACTTAACTCCAGGGAACCTGGTTTTATCCCCTTCCCTCTTCAAATCCAGTTTAAAATTCTTTATTCCTTTAGTGGATCCATTCGTAAGCAAAGAGGTGGCTGTCAAGAAATGCACAAAGCTGGAATCCCAAAAGATTTATGATACAGGACCACAGTCCAGATCTTGCTTAGTCTCAGGAAAGCTTACCTTCATAATCCTACCTCAGTGCTGTAAAAGGAAATAAATGGTAGAATTACCACTTATTGGAATTGTGGAAGAAACAAGTAATTCAAACATTAGTGCTGGAAGGCTACTGTTCTGCTTATTTTTGGTATTTGATATTGAGCCAGCAGACAGGAAACAAACTATGTTAATTAAACAAAATAAATAACCAAATTTTCAGAACAATGCAACGATCACTGACTTAATTGTCAGACAAAAGCTAGCCTTTAGATTTACACTGCAGTGAATGTTATTTTAACATTTGAAGAAAATCCAGATTAATTTCCAAAGGTATTATTGATAATGATTGCATCTGTAACCTTGAACAGTATTTCCTGCTGTGGAACTTTGTAACAGTTTTAACAAACCACTCATTCAAGAGAGTAGCCAATTTCTAGAGATGACACAGGCACATGAATTATTCTATGTCAGATTAAATCTCTTTGCAAAGTAAAGGGGATTTCATCCTCTTTCCCTTCTCAAATCCCCATAAGTACCATGCTGAAATCTGTTCCCCGCCATAGCCTTCAGAAATGCGACTCAGTATTTGAGATTCTTAAAATCTCAGATCGAGTCCTTTTGGTGGAGCTAGATATTCAGGTAAAAGACACCCTGTATGCACATATTTTTTACTCACTATTTAGTTCCACACTCATCCCTAATTTTAGAGCTGCTACTACATTTCTGCCTTCTTTTTGAAGACTCTTTTGCCAGGTAATATTTCTGCTGAGTATACAGAAACTCAGATCTCAGATTAAAGTCTCACTGCTCTTGGATAAAATAGTAAGCCTGTAACTTGTTCAATAACAGACATAACATGATTCTTTCCCCGCTTTTCCTCTGAAATGAACGGCATGATAGTCTGCTCCCTCTTTTATTCCTTGCTTTTCTGTTTGCACATCACACAAATCTATTCACAATATTAGTGGGTAGATTTTGATTTATACTCTTTACTTTCCACTTTCTTAAGGAAAGTGTTGGAATCTGTTCCTTTTGTTCCTTGGTTATCTGGAATTAAACCAACCAGGTTAGAGCTGAAGGAAGAGAAAGAAAGACTGAAAATGTGAATGTGAGAGCAGAAGTTGTTTTACACAGAATAAATTCATTCACAGTAAAAGGATCAATAGATGAGAAAACCTATCTGTGTAGGTGGTGTGCTTTTACAGAGTTCATAACCTGTATTCTTAGGTTTAGATGTTAACATTCACATGGGCATAATGCAGTATCACCTGTAGAAATCTATGTTTTAAACAAAAAGATTTCTCTGAGTTTTGCATTTGGTATGAACACAAGATAGTCTGGGAAGCAAAATTACTGCCACCTGTTCACATATCCGTCTCTGCTTTACTGTCTGGCCTTATCTGGTGTAATCAGACCAAGAGTAGACAAACAAATGTGGATTTAACGTCAGTGAGGTGAGGCTCAGGAATCTGAGAACTGACAGAACAGGATCCTCCCCTCTGTATCCGTCTCAGCGCAGAAGGGCGTTCCCTTTTCCAGGCAGATGGCTGATCTATTGGTCTGTGGAGCTAAAACATTTTCCCGTGTGCAAATATTTGCACCTGACCAGAACAAAAGAAAAGGCACCATACCTTTGTGTACCGTGGAGGTGAGAGACTGTGGGACACCTCAGCACTTAAAATGCAAAAGTAACTTGATCTTGTAGAATAAGACTGATATAATTAGGCTTGTTTCATGTACTACTTATGTTCTTACCAAAGGCTGACACAGAGAAATTTACAAATGCTGAGGTGTCCTCCACAGGATCAACCAAGTCACTGATTTGCTTCCGTTTGTTTGTTCCTTTTGTCAAATGGATATAAAGATCTACAGTACAAGTCAGAAGGAAATGAATAGTCTCCATGGCAATTAAAAAGTCCAAAACCACTGAATAGAATGGGAAGAATATTTACTTTTTCATCAGAAAATTTACAGCATTTGCAGTCTATCTATTAATTCATTTTCCTTGCAGCTTAAGATGTCCATGCAATTCATCACTCCATCTTCGGTTGCTACCATGCATTGTAAATAACCGACCCCCTCATCACTAAAATTGGATCTATTTCAGCAGACTGTTTTCTTTTATGAGCTATCAGATATTTGCTGATCCCTTTAGAATCAGAGAAGACACATAATAACTACAGCTGCCTCTATTTTTGCGTAATTAGGTAATAACCTAAATAAGCAGAATCATCCTTTAGTTCACACTGCCATATCAAGAACTGCATTTTGAAATTTCCCTACAATGCCAACTCCAGTAGACATTGATCAAGTCACCCTTTGTACATGTCTAATTCTGACCTGTGAGAAAGAGAAAAGATACCATACACAATAACTTTTCAAGTTTATAAGACTCAAAGGACAGCGCTCCAGATGGAGTGTGTTGGCGCTTAGACTGTGTTATTGTTTTAGGAAAGAGCCTAAAATGGCTTCAGAAAGATCTGCTGTGTCTTCTGCTACCTGTCTGAGGTATCACTCGTTAATCCTTAGCACACCCTGGCTACATGTCCCCAGGTGATTGTTTGTAAAAGGCTGGCACCCAAGAACCCACCCTGCTATTTAGCACTCAGCCAGCTGCAGAGAGACAAGTTCATGGATGTATAAAAACCACCGGCCTCATTGCTTATGTTCACATGCAGGGAAGAGAACAGTGACTGCCCGGAGGAGAAGCTACATCCCATGGTGAAGAATATTGCATAGGATGGAGAGAAAAGTAGCCTTGTTCTGCTAAGGCATTTTTTGCTTCAAGTTTATAAGTAGCTGGGCCTGTGATTACACACAGATCTTGAGCATTTTTATCAGAGCATAAGAGCAGAAGAAGAGCACTCATCGTCCAGGCCTCCACTGCTTCACTTGGAAGACAACTCCACAACCCATATTACAAATTATTATCAAACATTTTCATATATACATTCCTACTGAGGAGCATTCTTGCCCTAATTGGAAAAAAATATTCCTTCATGGCCTCAATGGCTTAGTTCTCAGTGATTCATATACTCTCAACCTTGACAATTAACAAAAATCCTAAATTCCATAATGAATTCCAAAAGGGAATTCAAGGATTCAGAGCAGCAGTTG